CCAATTTCTAAGCAAGATTTGGACTACTTTTTAAATAACATAAATCTGCTTCTATGACACATTGGTCTTCTGAAAATGCAGGTGGGTGCCCAATCCCAAGAAACTGATTTATCTCAAAATGGAGCCTCTTTTCCCACAGAACTCTTTACCATGAGTTATCAATAAGTAATTTTGGTAAAGGGTGATATGAAAGGATGAGTCTTCATATTTCATCATATAGATGAAATGTCATTTCTGGAGAAAATGACACAATTTCCAACATATGGGATAGCATTGATTCTTTGAGTTAGTTTTCTCAGTATGAGTCTCATACTCTAATCCTTTGTCTGTTTCTGCTGAAGAAGGAAGGAAGGACAAAAAGGAGGAGAAAAAGAAGAAAAAATATGTCTAACCATGACCTTAGACTGGTAAAATCAAAGTCTTTGAGACTGGGGCACTAATATCAAAGATAAAGACGTGTCTGCAAGATGAGTGATTAAAAGTTGTTGAGGGGCTGGCGCTGTGGTGCAGTGGGTTAAAACCCTGGCCTGAAGCACTGGCATCCCACATGGGCACTGGTTCTAGTCCTGGCTGCTCCTCTTCCAGTCCTGCTCTCTGCCATGGCTTGGGAAAGCAATAGAAGATAGCCCAAGTCCTTGGGCCCCTGCACCCACATGGGAGACCTGAAAGAAGCTTCTGGCTCCTGGCTTCGGATCGGCGCAGCTCCGGCCATTGTGGCCATCTGGGGAGTGAACCAAAAGATGGAAGACCTCTCTCTTTGCCTCTCTTCTCTCTGTGTAACTCTGACTTTCAAATAAAAATAAAATAAATCTGTTTTTAAAAAGCTGGTTGAAAGCCACATTGACCCAGTGCTTTCCAAACTTTTCTGGGAATATGAATAATTTAGATATCTTGTGAAACATATCTATGAGCCTCAGCCCCCAAAATCTATCTGGGATGGAGCTCCAGGTTTTACATTCCAATAAGTTGCATGCTCTGCTGTTCTTCTGTGAACTACACTTTTGAGTAGTAGGGTTTTAGAACATGGCTATCAAAAACTCACTCAACACAGAAAAGTCAGTTGTTAGGAGTTGCTACTCAAAGAAAAGCCTATGGACAGGCAGCAACTGCATTTGCTGGGATTTTGCTAACGGTGCCGAACACCTAGACTCGCTGTATCAGAATCTGCATGTTAACTAGATCCCCAGGTGATAACACAATACATTAAAATTTAAGAAATTCAGCTCTAATTCTCAAATTTAGCTGTACATCCAAATCATCTGAAGGACTTTTAGAATCATGGATGCCTGCGTACTAACCCCAGATACTCTTTGGGCATTGAATGTTTTTAAGAATTGCCCATGTTTGAGAACCATTGCTTTCTATAACTTGATTTGAGGTTGATGTTGTACAAATTTCGTTTCTAATATTTTGTTATTCTCATGTCCTGGTCCATCATATAGTATGATTATCCAGTAATAGATACTTATCCATGCATGTTAATCAAAATCCTCTCAAATTCAAATTGAGACAGGAGGATAAACATTGTTGTATCAATCTGTCACAACTTAGTGTAAATATAATTTAATTAGACTATGAGATTCCAAATCTGGAAGAATGAGTTTTAATGGAGATTGGGAGAATGAAAGAGAGCATCAATTTAAAATAGGGGGCACTTTGTGTCGTGTACTGAGGCAGATGGAGCTGGTGGTTGGTGGTATGAGGTGGTGATAACTGGTTAATTCTTGCTCAGTCAGGAGAAAAAGCAGCACACTGAGCTTTTGAGTAGCTGGAAGAGTAAGAATAAACAGTGAGAATTAATTGTATCCCTTTTAAAAATGAATATGAAAAAAATCAGTAAGGCAATGCCTCATTATAACAGGTGTACCTGCTTTTCATAAGCTCACCAAGCTCCAGAATCTTGTCTTAAATATCTTATACACTCATTAATGTTTTCATTAATGATACTCCAATAATATTAAAGAAACCAACTCTCTTCCCATTTAGGCTAGGTTAATTTGAGAAGTATGATTGAAAAATGAGCATGCTAAGTACTTTCCACTAAATATTTTGTCTCCATATTGCAGTCCTAGGATTGCTGATTTTATTTTTCTTTAATTCCCCAAGCTCACCTTGGATATACTCTTTTTCATTTGACTAAATTGTATGCACAGAGAAGAAAGAGATGTGATCAGGATCCTCTTATTTAGTGGATCACTTTGAGGCAGAAGTCAAGTGGTGATTTCATACAATTAGGAGTCCAAGCACTCAATACTCACCAGTATCAACGTTACATGGTTAGGGTAATCTCATATAAAATTGTAACAGATGAAAATTGTGTGCAATTTTCTTGCAAAGAATCCTCACTATGCTGTTCCATGCTGAATAAATACCAGCCACAACAAAGTCAACCAATTTAAACTATTGCTTTTATTATAATTACACGGGAGCACAAATAAATAAGCACAAAAGTATTGTAAAATGTTGTCAATGCACTAAAGAAATCAATTTGTTTTCAAACAACATCTGGTTACTTCAGTAGTATCAAAGAACATTTATAATTACATGTTACCTAAAAAAATCAAGTACAAAATTAAGAGACATTAAAACATCAGTGTTTATATAATTATATATATATAGAAATGGCTAATAACACATGAGTAGAGAAATCCATTATCTAATGCTTATTTGCACATTTCTTCAGGCACATACCTGACATTTCTAATGAGTTCTGAAAAATGCAATATGACATTCAAATTTTTAGATACGGTAAACATGTTATGTTGGAATGGGTGTTTAATGGTTTTCTTAAAAACCCTGTCTTTTAAAAATGTAGTGCCATTATCCACTAAAAAACATATTGTTTTTATCACTTTCTCATAGCTATTTGTTTCAATTGTTTAAAAGAGCAAGAAAGTAAACATACAATTTCTAAATACGTAAACACATTTTTAGTGCAAGATAACAAGACCTGTGACTTTACTGTGCTTTGTTTTTATAATCACAGTGCACTTGACACAAATTGTTACACTATAAATGTTAACTTAAGGAGTTCCAAACAAAGGAGGTGCATACTAAACATTTTCATATATATTATATACAGTATTTATACTGTATGTGGGTGTATACATGTTTAAATGTAGATGCTCTTAGGGTGGGCAAACCCAGTTATATTTGGGGACGACCGAATACTTCGAAAGGATTTTCACACATATTTGGCTGAGATGAATCCAATCCAACCTTTAAAATTATTTCCCCTTAATTTGAAACTTCATAATATTTAAAAGGAAGTGTAATCAAACACAATTTTCCAGATTACATATTTACTATGATGTAATTAACCCAAATATCAAAGGGTTTTAAACCATCCAAACCCAGAGCCATAATGTTTGAGTCCAACATGACAAAATGTATTATCCTTTACTGATTTACATAGACAGCATTATATATCATATGTGCACATATAGAGGCTTACAAATAACATTTTATACTTAGACATTAAACTGAGCGTGTTTAATATTTAATTTTGACTTTACACTTGATCTGAGAAAAGAGAATGACACACAAATACATAAGATCAAACACATGAAATTTTACGTCATCTTAAAAACAATTTTTATTATTAATGTTAATATTGTTATAAATATATTGATTGCATAATTAAGCTCCTGGAATCTGGGACCAAGCATTTTTCAATATTTAAAGCCAAATGTTTCCAAATTTGTTTAAATGACTGATATGTAAGTTGCTCCGTAAAAAAATGCTGAAAAATAAATTAATGACAAGTTGTCCACATTTTACAACTAGCTATCTTTTTTCCCACACAGGGAAGGTCTAGTGAGATAATCCTAAATACTAGATGTCCCGTTTTTCTTTTATTTCTGTAAAAGTTCGGGATGAGATGAATTGTGAACTGCTTTTCTATTGTACTTCCACTCCTTTAAAGGGGTGAGCTCTCTCTCATCTCAGGTTACTTGCTGCCTAAATCATAGGAAACTTTTCTTCACATCACATGTAAGTAAAGCTGTTTCACAAGTTGTCTTCTACTTCAGTATATTGGCTCACCTTAATATGTAAGTGATGTGAAAATCGCAATTTGCTATTTTCGTTGTTTTGATGTCTTATTTAATTAGTTAAGATTCTAATCCAATAAGAGTAGTTTTATTGAATTAGTCACTAAATTCTCTCAAAGGAATCAAACCAAATTGCATGTGTGGACAAGACTTACACCTTCGCAAAAATCTAGTATGGAAACAATTTCTCTCTTCTCTTTAATCACTGAAAGAAAATTTTGTCACTATGTTAAAGAGTGAAGCTGTATAATGATACCTACCATATAATTGAATGAGTATATTCTTTATAAATTATTACCTCAACACTTTGTTTTATTTTACTTTCCCATTATTTTATAAGTATGAATACTAACCTTCATGTACACAGATCTATCGCTAATTACTCCAAATTCACTTCAGTAGCGTGAATATGTGGGAAATGTTGACAGTGTTTCTGTAAAAGACTATTATTGTGCCTAGGAATATACTGGCTTCTGTGAATGGAGAAAAATACAGCACTCCACTTTTTCTTTCCATCATTTCTAAAGAAATTTATTTCTTCTCTGCTAAGAAGTGTTTCCCATATTAAAGCATCTTGTTGACAGCAAATAAAAATTCTTTTCTATAAAATTTGCTGTGAAAAGCTCTTTTTTTTTCACAGGTGGAGCTCCTTTAAACTGAGCACCATGCCAATGAGGTGATTGGTTCTTTGGCACTGTGAGATATGTGAGCTTTATCATGGCATAGTGTTCTGACTGTAGGTTATCTTCCAACAAACTCCACATATTGAGATATCCTGACTGATGACTGTCAGAATCAGATGATTTTTCTCTATATACTAATGACTAATATGACCTGCCACACAGGGAAACACTATAGGAAGAGGAAATTGATCATTGAATGGCTATTGCCACAACTGACATTGTATAAGCACCAAAAAAGCACAGTGTGCTGCTATTCTCCAGTTGAGTTAAATCTCAGTAAAGCCACTTTCCCACATAGTTGTACTTCTTCCCTTTAAAGGAGAAATTTGAAGGAATAAATGGAAATCATTGCCTTCAGACAAATTTTCAAATAAGTTAACTCCTCAGAAAATAATGCATCAGAAAAAGGAGTGCACAAAACCCTGCAATAGTGTGAGTTAGAATGGATAAGAATGACTGAATCCAACACAATTTTAGTACCTCTGTTTCCTTGTGGCCAGCATTAAAAAAAGTCTTCTGCCCATTCAGAGAGATACGGGAAAGACCAGCATCTGGAAAACACACTTGCAGCGTTCCATGCAAAGATGTTGCTGGAATATAACTTTTAAGAGAGGGATGATCACAACCATACTGAACCTGGCTCTACGGATATCAAGTTCATAAAGATGCTGGGAGCTGATATCTTGTGGCTGACTGACTGGAATGAGTTTATGTGGTCACAACTTACATTCGGATACCAACCTGGGTCATAACACATTTTGTTTCAATTTTTCTTTGTATCTAAGCACATTTTCATCACTCTTAGACTCGTGCTCCTCTGATTGCTGTGTTTGAAATGTAACCTCAGCTATGGGTGACGAAACATGGCAGTAGGATTCATTGAAACTACTAGAGATTGCTTTACGTTTTCCTGCTTTTTAACTTCAGGAAGCACTTAATGTCTACTCTTCTCCCAGTGAGTACTCATTCTCTCTCACACACACACAAACACACACACACACACACACACAGAGGCTCCCACTTACCTTTTTCCTTTTTCTGTTAGAATTTAAATTGGACATCAAAATATACATTAATTATAAAACATTAAAAAATTATTCTATAACATTTCAAAGGCTTTTCAAAGGAACTATAACTGATATAGTATTACTGGGTTTGTATGCTAGATTACAAAAATTCCCTATCTCCTGTTATATTTGGTTCTATTGAGCAGCACTGAACTATTGCTGTCAATACCCTTACAAGGAAAACCACTATGACAATTACTTCAAACACACACTTTTTCTCTCAGAAATATAATACTAAATTGATTGTTTACAAAGAACCACATACTGTCGATTTTAGGAAGCATAAATAGTAATTTAAATATACAAAATATATGTGATAGTTTCTTTTTTATTCATCCGTGGCAATATTTATATTCAACTAACAAGTTATTCTTAAAAGATATATATGACTTCTTTTTTCACTTAAATTTCACCACCACATAAAAGTGAATCTACCCCATCCCAACCCCTGCATTTCCTGTTTCTTCCTTGAAACAAAATAAAATAAATAAGTGGTCATAATTCTTTGGTCATGGTGTCATAATCAGTGAGAATGGGTATGATGATCATGCACAGACAATTGTGACCCAAAAATTGCAGTGATAACTGGTTGGAAAACACTAACAAGAATACTTTTCCATTAATGGAGTTAAATTTTGAGATAGAGTGGCAAATGGTGAACTAAAAACAGGTAAACTAGTCTGGTTGAATAATTATTACTCATTTTCTCAGGGAAAGAAGCATTATGAAAATTTACTTAAAATAGTGACTGTGGCAGCTACAAGGCCACTGGCCTCATCTTCTGGAAAGCAGTCATGCTCCTTAGCTTTTCATTCCTTATTCCTTCCATTGTCACAGTGAACCCTGGTCTCCTCCAATCAGGTCAACGTTGCAAGGACAGGTGTCCCTAAAGTCATTGCTGAAGGGAATGATTTCTGCTGGGATGTTCAAATGTTTCCTAACAACTTTCTCTTGAGTTTGACTAATCATTGCTTAGTATAAACAAAAGGATATTAAAAAGGAATTATTATAAAGCCAATGGAACAAAAAGGTTGGTGTCAATATAATATGCACATCCATATCCATATCACCTTTTCAGATATTTCCTTTCAAATCTTTAAAAACTTAAAACTTAAAAATCAAAAAACACTTTTAACAAATATGATATTCAACTTCTACATTACTAGCACCAGATCACATATTATGTGACTGAACATGATTGATAGCCATGAGCTCTTGAACAGAAGCCAAGTGCAGACAAGGAGGCGGGAACATTTTAAATGCAAAAATTAATAAAAGGCATCAAGGGATTACATATAAAAGAGATAACAAACCAGTTAATAATGAAATTATATCATATAGTAAACTCTCGATATTTCTGTAATCCATACATGTATACTGTGTTTTATTTCAGATGTCACCCATAAACTAGTAAAATATTTACATTTTAACATCTTCTGGATTCAAAATAATCCAAGATAAATAAGTGTGCCTTCATCACAAGGACATACGTATTTTATCTTGAGCTTGCCACAAGTAGGCCCAGCTTCCCATGGCATTCCAGAGAAGATATGCAACAACTGATGTCACATGACCAAGCCAGTCTCCCTCTTCATTTGAAGTGCTGTGGCGCGCCGGCAGCCTGTGCGCCCTCATATTGCAGTATCCCAGAATACCGTTTGTTGCTTAGAGTAGGGCGGAGGGCTGTATTTCTTTGCACCTGCATTCTTCTTCCAGCTGGGTAGAATAGGCATGCTATCCTGTTTGCAAAGGCCCTTTTCCGTTTTCTGTCTAGCCTTTATTTCTTTGCATAAGCAACGCTTTTTCTCAATCATCTCAAGCATTGTATGATCTCCATGAAACCACTGCATGCATGCCACCTAGCAAAAAGGAAACAGTGAATACAGAAGAAAGAAATGGAATGAAAGCATTTTTTTTGCACTGTGCTAGTACTTTGCTAGAAAAATGTCAGCTGTTTCTAGCCTGCCTTTTAAAACCCTTAAAATAAATTAAATGCAATAATTCTTGTAAAGCACAAATAAAAACATGGAAACTATAAATAAATTTTGATCGTAAACTACTAAATATCATGATACTATTTAACAATAATTTGGGTCAAAATATTTTTCAATATGTTCTAAAAGTCCACAATCTGAAAAAAATATTTTTATTTTGTATTTTTTTTAAGATTTGCAAAATACTTGCCATTACTTTTATGTTGGTTCCATTGTCTTATTAATCCCAACCTAAATGCAATTGTTGAAATTACTTTTCAGTGATACATAGTGTGAATGTGATATGAATGATAAATGTCAATTAAAATATTCATTCTTGAAATGATTTTTTAAGATTTATTTATTTATTTGAAAGTCAGAGTCACACAGAGAGAGGAGAGGTAACAAGGGAGAGAGGTCTTCCATCTGATGGTTCACTCCCCAACTGACCACAAAGGCTGGAGCTGTGCCAATCCGAAGCCAGGAGCCAGGAGCTTCCTCCAAGTATCCTATGTGGGTGCAGGGGCCCAAGGACTTGGGCCACCTTCCACTGCCTTCCCAGGTCATAGCAGGGAGCTGGGTCAGAAGTGGAGCAGCTGGGTCTCAAACTGGCACCCATATGGGATGCCAGCACTTCAGGCCAAGGCACTAATCCACTGCACCACAGCGCCAGCTCCTCAAAACAATTTTTAAACACGAAGTTATGGGGCCAGCGCATGGAACAGTCAGTTAAGATGCCACTTATAACATCACCATTCCATATTGGAACATAGCTTTGAGTCCTGAGTACTCTGTTTCTGACCTAGCTCCCTGCTTGTGTGCCTCAGAAGCAGTGGGTGATAGCCCAAAGCACCCAGGTCCCTGCCCCCATGTAGAACTGGATGGAGTTCCTGGATCCTGGCTTTGGACTGGCACAACCCTGGCTGTTGAGGCCATTTGGAGAGTGAACCAGCATATAGAAAATCTCCTGTCTCTTCCTCTCTCTCAATTACTTGGTCTTTCAAATCAATCAACCTTTTAAAATTTCTTGAGTCTGTTTATAAATATGTAATATAATTAGTATGTTTGATAATTCTTCCTATAAAATGACTTTTGCGCTGCATTCACTATGCTTGGAATTAAATGCTTACATAATTTTCTTCAAATAAGATTTTACTATAGTTTTTGATGTCTGAGTTAGAATCATTGAACTCTACCATCACACTAAAACAGATCCTAATTACTTCCAGATATGCAGAGAAACAAATTCATCAAATCAATAGGTTTACCAGGAAAACATTCACTGTAAATTATATATTGATACAATACACATACTGGTGGACAAGTAAAGAGTGCTCCCAGGTATACACAATACCATATCTACCAGCAACTATTCATTGAAACATACCTAGCATATTGAGTGTGTTATGCAAGAATGAAAATGAGATTGGGCCATGAGATGAGCCGTGGATCAAGTTTCCAATCAGTTAAGCAAATCTAATCTATGAAAGGTTAAAAAAAAAAAAACCTCATGTGACATCACTGAACTCGGTGTTACAATATTAGGACAACAATCAGAGCAAATACTTACCTAGTTATCTAATGCTTTCTCTAAATAGGATCTCATTCTAGGTACTTTGCATAGTTTAATTCATTTATTCCTCACAATGATGATCATCTGAAGTAAATACTATTGATTAATCCATAATAATGAATAAAATGAGGCATAAAGAGATTTGGGAACCTGCCCAAAATTACAGCTCAATCAATGGAAGATTTATTTCCAAGAGTCCATTTCAACACTCAACATCCATATGTATATAGTTGTAACAACTACACTCTACTGCCTTTTTTATATGTGTACAGAATTGGAAAGAACTGATAAGAAAATTTAGTATAACACCCTTAATATACAGATGAGGAAAGCAAACCTCCAAAAAATTAGATATCCTGTCAAAAGCCATGGAAGAGGTTTTGATGTGAACACAGCAACCTGAAATTTTCTTGATTACTAATCTTTGAGGAAGAGGGCAGGACCTAGAGCTAGAAAACATGCATTCAAATGCTGTGTGTAGTGAATTTCTGCTGCGCTTCTTTGCTTAAATAACTTAATACTTCACATTCAAAAGTCAGTGTGTGGTTTACAAGGCATAATGAAGGTCAACTCATTTTAAGAACAGAGAAATGATGCCCAAGCTTCATATACTGAATCTTGACAAATACAAAATAGTTTTCCATATCAACTCTCTGCCAGGTGTTCATGGAGACCTTTATCAGTGTTATATTAAATTCTGCCAGACATACTGAAAGCTAGGATTTTTCTACTACAACATGCTCTATCTCCTCCTGAGTTTTATTTAGAAGTTATAATGGTTATTACTGTACATATTACATTCCCATGTCCAACTTAAACATGCAAATGTATTTTTGATTTTATAAATAAAAATAAAAAAATAATACCAAAGTGTTATCAAATAGTTAAATCAGAATTGATGGTGTTGATTTGACTCCAGAAAATAATACTTTTAGATAAATATTTGATATGTACATAAATTAATATAAAGTGTCTTGAAAGGAGAGACTGTGTTTTATGCCTTTTGATATCTTCCAGTTATTGGCTCTGGACTTGTTCATGGACAATCACCTTTTTAACAAAATTCTAGGGGTTTTGTTGAATTAATCTAGTTAATATGCTTGTGTCCCAACAAGAGATTGCCAGAATGACTCAAAAAATGTTCAAAAGATTTACAATATCTTATAGCATTATATTCTACACAATAAGAATGCAATAACTCTATTTTTGTGGAAATATAAGCAAAATTTATTGTTATTCTAAACTGTCATAATGGAATTTGTGATACAGAGTTCCTAGAAGATAGACCCAAAATCTCACTCATCTCAGTAGACTCAGCTCATAGAGCAGAGTTCTAGGCTCCCAATGAAAGTTTTCTGAATTGGAAAGAAGCCATGGAGTGGTTTTTGTTGACTATCAGAAAGTCTCCATGTCATTTTCTTCTGAGTAAAATCTACACTCTACATGTTTTGAAATAATTGAGACAACTTAAAGCTTCTTGAAGGAAAGATATCTCTTATAGCATCACTTCTTTTTTTTTAATTTTATTTATTTATTTTTTTGACAGGCAGAGTGGACAGTGAGAGAGACAAGAGAAAGGTCTTCCTTTGCCGTTGGTTCACCCTCCAATGGCCGCCGCGGCCGATGCACCGCGTTGATCCGATGGCAGGAGCCAGGTACTTCTCCTGGTCTCCCATGGGGTGCAGGGCCCAAGGACTTGGGCCATCCTCCACTGCACTCCCTGGCCACAGCAGAGAGCTGGCCTGGAAGAGGGGCAACCGGGACAGAATCCGGCGCCCCGACCGGGACTAGAACCCGGTGTGTCGGCACCGCAAGGCGGAGTATTAGCCTAGTGAGCCACGGCGCCAGCCTATAGCATCACTTCTATATTTTCAGTTTGTTTATCTGTCTGCACAAACATTACATTTTTGTAACTTAACTTTCGTTAATATTTTTATGATATGAAGCAGTACATGTGACTGCAAAACAATTGCACTTTGTTGCATTCCAAGCAGTGTCAGCAGCATATTTCATACTTGTTTTACATGTATTGAATGCATTGTATTATTTATAATAAATTGTGTTTGTGTCATTCAGGAATTAACATTACTTAAATGTGTAAATTCATCAAGAATAATAAATAGTTTAAAATAGAATATAAGGATAGCAATGAAAAGTTATAAAGATGACGTTTATATTTTCTTTTCCTTTTAAAATAAGTTACATATCTTTGATAAAAATTCTAAATTTGAACATAACTTACATGATATGAAGTACGTTATAAATATTACCCATAAAAATTTAATTATTTTTTTTCTCTTTTCACACAATTCTTCCTATCTTATTCAACTATAGCTGTAAATCCATTTCCACTCTATCTGGAATTGATAGAACTTTTTGGGAATTGACTGTTTTGACTAATGAACCAAATCCCATAAATAAACTTCTAGTTTATTTATTTAATTAGATAACCTTAGTTTATCTTTAGTCCAAATCCATTTATTATATATACCATGAAGAAGAGAGAAACATAGTTGGGTAAATGTACATTGGGAAACAATTGCGAGACAATTCTTACGAACACACATCCCTTAGACAAAATTTGTATATCAACATTAATCAGGAGAGGCAGTATTCTAGAATAATAAATTCAGGTCATAAAGTCAAATGAAGCTCTCCATCAACAAAATGAAACACAAATCTCCAGCCCTTATGACAGGCTACACACGGAGGCTTGCTTCCAAGGCGTATAGTGTGGAAAGGAGGGGAAAGAGTAATTTCACAGTGGAGAAATCTGGTGCTATGGTGTGAACAATCCTATGCTGAAATCCCAACATTCAGGTGATAGCACAGAGGTGAACCTTTGGAGGTGATACCCCATGAGGGCAGACTCCTCATAAATCAGATTAGTGCCCTTATGAAAGAGGTAAAGTGGGGGAGGCTTTTTCAATTCTCCCACTGTTTGAGGACATAGCAAGAAGTCAGCCATCTACAACTTAGAGGAGGCCCAAAGGGTTCTCACCAAAGCCAGCCACACTGGCACCCTGATCTTGGACTTTCTAGCCTCAGAAACCATAAGAAGTAACTTTTCTGCTGTTCACAGAAAGTTGGGAATAATTTGTTGTAGTACTCCAAACAGAAAAACTGTCTTTCAAATAACACCACCTTCAGATGATCGACAGGGACCAATTATGCTGATAGCATGAATCCTGATGATAGTGTAATGAGAATGACAGCCATTTATCTTTTCCAACCCCTTTACAAATCACATAATTCCACTCCAATCACAAGACAAACACCAGACAAACCAGAATTGAGAAATACTCTACAAGTT